CTTGAGCATCAGTGGATTTTGGTACCTTGTGGGGTCCTGGAACCAATTGCCCAAGAATACCTAGGAATGACTGTATTGGTGAAAGAATAGACAGAAAGATCAGTGGAATGGAAGAGAGAACCCAGAAACAGACTCATACAAATACAGTCAACTGATTTTGACAAAGGAGCAAAGGCAACTGGAGAAAGCCTAGTTTTTTCAAGAAATGGTACTGTAACAACTAGACATCCGCATACAAAATAATGAATTTAAATATCCTGTTTTACAAAAGTTAAAACCACAGACCTAAAAGCAACATGCAAAACTATAAAACTCCTACAAAATAATAGAAAGTTTAGGTGAATTTGGGTTACACAGTGACTTTTAAAAATTTTTTATTTTACTTTATTGTTAGAGGTGGGGGTCTCACTCTGTTGCCCAGGCTGGAGTGCAGTGGTACAATCATAGCAGACTATAACCTTGAACTCTTGGGCTCAAGCAATCCTCCTGCCTCAGCCTCCCAAGTAGTGAAGACTATAGGTGTGCACCAACCACCGCCCCCCGCCCCCCAGCTAATTTTTAAAAACTTTTGTAGAGATAGGGTCTCCCTGTGTTGCTCAGGCTGGTCTTGAACTTCTGGCCTCAAGCAGTCCTCCACCCACAACCTCCCAAAGTGTTGAGATTACAGGCATGAGCCACCACCCAGCCTGACTTTTTAGATACAATACCAAAAGCATGATCATGAAAGAAAAAACTGTTAAGTTGAACTTCGTTAAAATTAAGAACTTCTGGCTGGGCACGTGGTGGCTCACGCCTGTAATCCCAGCACTTTGGGAGGCCGAGACAGGCGGATCACAAGGTCAGGAGATCGAGACCATCCTGGCTAACATGGTGAAACCCCGTCTCTACTAAAAAATACAAAACAACTAGCCGGGCGAGATGGCGGGTGTCTGTAGTCCCAGCTACTCGGGAGGCTGAGGCAGAAGAATGGCGTGAACCCGGGAGGCGGAGCTTGCAGTGAGCTGAGATCCAGCCACTGCACTCCAGCCTGGGCAACAGAGTGAGACTCCGTCTCAAAAACAAAAAAAAAAACAAAAAAAACTGAAATCTGGTAGGGATGTAAAATTGTACAACCACTTTAGAAAACAGATCGACAGTTTCTCTCCTCTCCCCTCCCCTCCCCTCCCTTCTCCTTTTCTAACAGGGTCTTTCTCTTTCACCCAGGCTGGAGTGCAGTGGCATGATCACAGCTCATTGCAGCCTGGACCACCTGGACTCAAGTGATCCTCCTACCTCAGCCTCCTGACTAGCTGGGACCACAGGTGTGCACTACCATGCCCAGCTAAGTTTTAAATTTTTTGTAGAGACGGGGTCTCCCTATGTTGCCCAGGCTGGTCTCAAACTCCTTGGTTGAAGTGATCCTCCCACCTCAGCCTCCCCAAAGTGCTGGGATTAGCAGCACTGGTATGCTGGCGTGAGCTACCACACCCAGCTGGCTGTTTCTTAAAAAACTAAAAATAAAATTATCATTTGACCCAATAGTCCAACTCCCAGGACTCTACTAAAAGGAATGGAAACAAATCCACACAAAGACTTCCACGTGAACATTCTAAACAGCATTATTGATGATGGCAAAAACTAGAAACAACCCAAATGTCCATCCGCTGATGAACTGAATGGATAAACACAGGCGGTATTTCCATACAATGGAACTACTCAGTTTAATAAAAGGAGTGAAGCACTGACGCATGCCACAGCATTGATGAACCTCAAAAACAGTCTGCTAAGGAGAAGCAGCCAGACACAGGACTGCAATCACATGACCCTAGTTACATGAAATTGTTCATCCAGACAGAAAGCAATGCAGTGGATTGCCCAGGGCAGGAGGTGGGAGCAGGGATTAACTACAAAACAGTCTCCAGGAAATTCTGGGGGCTGATGTAAAACTAGTTGGTGGTGATGGTTACATAACTCTAAATACATTTAAAATCACTGAGTTATATACTTATATATGAATTTTATCATATGTAAATTATAACTCACTCAAAGTTTACAAAATATATAAATAAGGCTCATGGAAAATGTAAATTAAGAAAAAACCGACTAGCCAGGAGGAAAAATGATGGGCCGCACATACACAGGCCCTCAGGCCCCAGTAACTGTTCTCTGTAACCCTGACTTGGAGTTTCTTGGTAGCCAAGTGACTAGAGAAGTACCGCCCCCTGGAAGGGGAGGCCTACTTAATTTCTTCAGAAGTGCTGGGCCAGTTACCATGGCTCATGCCTGCAGTCCCAGCACTTTGGGAGGCCAAGGCAGGAGGACTGCTTGAGCCCAGGAGCTCAAGACCAGCCTGGACAACATGGCAAGATTCCATCTCTACAAAACTTTAAAAAGAAAATGAGCCAGGCATGGTAGTGCACACCTGTCGTCCCAGCTACTCAGGAGGCTGAGGTAGGAGGATTGTTTGGGCCCAGGAGGTCGAGGCTGCAGTAAGCTGAGATGGCACTGCTGCACTCCAGCCTGGGTGACAGAGCAAGACCTGTCTCAAAAAAAAAAAAAAGCAAAGCTATTCTTAGCTTTCAATTTCAAGAACGATTTCTCAGGTGTGGTCTCACCCAGACACTAGAGAAAAAGTATGAATAGTGTCTTTTAACAGTATCCAAGCCGGGCAAGATGGCTCACACCTGTAATCCCAGCACTTTGGGAAACCGAGGCGGGTGGGTCACCTGGAGCAAACTACTGAGGTCAGGAGTTTGAGACCAGCCTGGCCAACATGGTGAAACCCCGTCTCTACTAAAATACAAAAATTAGCCGGGCGTGGGGGTGCAGGCCTGTAATCCCACCTACTCGGGAGGCTGAGGCATGAGAATAACTTGAACCCGGGAGGTGGAGGTTGCAGTGAACCAAGATCACACGACTGTGCACTCCAGCCTGGGAGACAGAATGAGACTCTGTCTCAAAAAAAAAAAAAAAAGATCCTATGACAAGAACAATAACGGGCTCCATAAACTAGTTTCGCTTAATGTTCCTTGATAAAGGCCACAAATATGATGCCAGAACGCAGCTCAGAGAAGGCATTTCTGCCGAGGCTAAGAACATGTGACCCAAGCTTGTCGCTTTCCGAATGTCCAGCTGTATTCAAAAATAAATCCTACAGGGCCCGGCGCGGTGGCTCAAGCCTGTAATCCCAGCACTTTGGGAGGCCGAGACGGGCAGATCACGAGGTCAGGAGATCGAGACCATCCTGGCCAACACGGTGAAACCCCATCTCTACTAAAAAATACAAAAAACTAGCCGAGCGAGGTGGTGGGCGCCTGTAGTCCCAGTTATTCGGGAGGCTGAGGCAGGAGAATGGCGTAAACCCGGCAGGTGGAGCTTGCAGTGAGCCAAGATCCGGCTACTGCACTCCAGCCTGGGCGACAAAGCGAGACTCCGTCTCAAAAAAAAAAAAAAAATCCTACAATAGTTAGTGAACTGGATGGAGTGCACAGAGGCCTTTGGAAAAATCCTCCATAAATATGATTTATTTCAGTAGACTTGCAATGAGTTGGTAATTATTATGCGAGTGTTTTTTTCCCCAGGTGGGGAAAGAGCTGGAGTGTGCCAGGGTTCCGTGTTGCTAATTAAGGGCATATCCCTCTGCAGAGCTATGGAAATGTATGCAAGGGGTGTGTTCCTGAGGAATTCACAGAACTCCAGATGCGAAGTCGGAGAGCTGTGAGTTCCAATTCTGCTTATTAAGCAAGAGTTTGGTGTTTTGGGTTTTGTTGTTTTCTCTTGTTTTTAAAAAATCATAGCTGGGTACCGTAGTTCATGCCTATAATCCCAGCACTTTGGGAGGCTGATACGGGAGGATGACTCGAGCCCAGGAGTTAGGGACCAGCCAGAGCTTGGAAGATAAACCCGGCAGCTCCCGAGGCCAGCCCTGCCTCCACTGTGCCAGTGTTCCTCTCGCCAGGCATGGTGAGCTCAGGACACTGGCGTTGGACAGGCCCACCACGGAAGACCCGCGACCTCACTAACCACTCAGTGCTCGAACCCTCGTCTCTACACCAAAAGAGCACAAAAATTTATCCAAAATTCAGCGCTGGATGTGGTGGGCATGCACCCTCGTTAGTCCCGCAGCTACTCGGCCAAGCCCTGACGTGCAAAGAGGATCGCACTTGGCCAGGTGGCTTGAGGCTGCCCGTGAGCCATGATCGCACACTGCACTCAGCCTGGGCGCGAGACAAAAGCGAGACTTGTCTCAAAAAAAAAAAAAACAAAAAAATTTCACATAATTCAAATCTGTGTTTACAATGAACACTGTCTTTAGTGATCGAAGAAGCAGACAAGTCCAGGTCCGTCC